ATTATACAAAAAGCACTTCTTTTACCAAACACTACCAGCTTTTATATAGCAGAAACTTTTCCAAACAAACTCTCAGGCTCCAAAACTTTAGTTAGTCCTTATTCGTATTATCTTTCCATGTGTACTATTACTTTTCCATATTATATGCTCCTATATTTATGTTATTATACGGTTATACTATTTACTACTCCCTCCGTCCCAAAAACAACTTCCTACTTTCCTTAAATGGATGTCCCAAAATTAACTTCACACTTTAATATTTTCCTTATTTGGCAAATTATCTACATCAAAAAAGTGATAAACAGTGTCAAATAGTGTTTAAACAGTGCTAAATAGTGCACTCTACAGTAAAGTCAAATTTATTTCCTAAAAGTGTGTGAAAGTCCAACCGGGAAGTTGTTTTCGGGACGGAGGGAGTATAAGTATAATACTAAAGAAAATGTATACATGTCAATAGCTTTAGCTTAGCATTAGTGTAGAAGTATATTATTCTCTCCAGAAAGAGCATATATGACGAGGCTACCCTGTGGACTTGTAAGCTCCGCCTCAAAGTGCATGCCCCGCCGGCCGCGTCATATATGCTCTTTCTGGAGAGAATAATATATTCTTGCGGAGCTTACAAGTCCACAGACGTTCCACATTATTGATTTATTGGCTCATTTGTATCTTCCTTTAACATGATCATCTTTGAGGAGGTGCAATATGTGTTTGACACCAGGACCAATTCTTGTTTAGGGACTTCAAAAATTTAGAATGTAGTATTAATTATAGGTGGAATTTTCTAGATGCTATGTATTATTCAAAACTCTAGAAGATATATAAATTTAAAATTCTTCAATTTGTGTACATAAATTTGCATTTCACATTATATAACATCATAAATTTTATATTTCATTGAACTATCAAATCTATTTATATTTCACTTTAAATTTTGTTTTTATCATATTTCGGGGTTTTGAATTTGTCATTTGGAATTGGAGCCTCCAAATTCATTAAACGACTATGCCGTTTAAATGGGTTTGCTCTTTCATTGAACACAAGGAACATATTCCGTATATAGATTGTTTGAGTCAAGGTGCAAATATATTTCTATTCTGCTTTTAATGAGGATGTTTTTAGTTGGACCGAAACTTTCCTGCCAGGTCTATTCTGATCTGGTTTGATCTATTTAAGCCTGACTTGTTCTGGTCGGTCTAGTTTGTTCTGGCTGGTCTGATCCAATCTTGTAAATATCTGGTCTCTGTGTATTTTATAACTATGAAAGTCTGGTCCAGTCTAATCTGTTCAAGTCTGGTCTAGTTTGAACTGATTTATCTTGTCTGGTCTGGAACTGAAAACAGTCCAAGTAAAAACAATTTTTCATATTCGTATGAAATCGTTTTTGACCAGTTAGAGAGAACAAGTTCGGTAAGTTATATATACTTGTGAATGTTAAATGACATTTAATAAATATAAATATAAATATAAATATAAATATAAATATAAATATAAATATAAATATAAATATAAATATAAATATAAATATAAATATAAATATAAATATAAATATAAATATAAATATAAATATAAATATAAATATAAATATAAATATAAATATAAATATAAATATAAATATAAATATAAATATAAATATAAATATAAATATAAATATAAATATAAATATAAATATAAATATAAATATAAATATAAATATAAATATAAATATAAATATAAATATAAATATAAATATAAATATAAATATAAATATAAATATAAATATAAATATAAATATAAATATAAATATAAATATAAATATAAATATAAATATAAATATAAATATAAATATAAATATAAATATAAATATAAATATAAATATAAATAAGGGGGAGAGTTCCGGTGAGAAAGGAACCCCAGGAGAGAAATAAGAACGAAATTCAATCATTGATGTCATGGATCTAACGGCCACAAAAAAAGGAGAATCAATACCAATTTCGTCACATGGGCTTTTCGTTAAAAGGAATGTTGCAATGTTATTGTTCTGTAAGGGCATTAAAGTCAAAGTATTGAGAAATTAGTTATGCGTGTAGCGAGATTCTCTCCCACCCATCCAGTTTAGCACTCATTTCGTATAAAGTGGAAGTATAATATTAGGGGTGGGCAATTCGGTTTACGGTTCGGTTTTCTTCGGTTTCGGTTCGGTTTCGGTTTATTCGGGTTGGGAGAATTTGTACCAAACTAAAACCATTTGTGTTTCGGTTCGGTTTCGGTTCGGTTCCGGTTCGGTTCGGTTTGAAGTTCGGTTTATCAAAGTACAAAACATTATGTTTAATTTAGTTTGATTTGATACGTTTGCTTATGTTTATTATTTTATTTGATTAAGTTCTATATTTCGAATTAGAAAATGAAAGTTGATTAAGTCCATCTTATCTTTTTTTTTTAATTTATTGATTATTTAAATAAATGTAAAAGAAAATAAAAGATAGAAAAATAAATAATAAAATATTATAAATTGAAACTTCTAACATCTTTTTTATCACTACAAAAAATTCACTTCTTACAAAAAATAAGATAGTTGATTAGCATTTATAATATCACATAAAATATTCATAAAACCTAAAAGAGTCGGTGGTACAAATGTTGTAATATTCACAATTTTATTCAAATGAATCATGTAAAAATATAAATGCAATTTGCTACTGTTATCGCCAAACATAATAAATACAAATATGTCGTATTAGCTAACTTTTTCACAATGATTGTATGCAATGTGTAAAAGTTAAAATGATATGAGTATATGCTTAAATATATGTATTTTCATGTATAAATTATTTATTTATATCTTAAAAATGAAGAGTCATGAAGGTAAATACAAAGTGTGTGTGTGTCTGTGTTGTTCGGTTCAGTTTACGGTTTTCCATTTTAAAGCAAACCAAACCAAAGTACCAAAACATTTGGTTTGAACAAATGTTTACCAAACAGTTTACTTAAGTAAACCTAAACCAAACCAAATCAAACCACCAATTTTAATAATATATGAAAGCTTTTTGAGTTTCTTTAGTTCGGTTCGGTTTTATTCGGTTTTTATCGGTTTCGGTTCGGTTCGGTTCGGTTTAATACGGTTTGAAAGAAATAGTACCAAACTCAAACCAAATTGCATACGGTCCGATTTCGGTTCGGTTTAGTTCGGTTTGGTACGGTTCGGTTCGGTTAAACCAAACCGTTATGCCCACCCCTATATAATATTATTAATGAGCTTCTACATTTCCTTTTCCAAATACATTACTTTTTCATAATTGAGACTCAAATATTCTTCAAAGGCTTATTTACGTTATATTTTGCACTATTTCTTTTTTTGTTTTTAAATTAGATTCGTTTCCAAAAAAATCTATAAATGCATGTCAACTCAATGAGTAAATATATGCACTTTTACTCGAGTATTATACACCATTGGTTGCTTTAAGTATTTCTTACTATTTCTTTTCACATTCCATATATATTCCCTTATAATACAAACTATATATTAATAATTTCTTTTAAAAAGAACATTTATGTAAATAGGATCTAGTTCCGGCAAGAGGACTTCTTCCCCGTAAAAAATGAGAACAATTCAAAACGATGCACATACATTATGGTTCACGGAGATACACATTTATAAATAAAATCATGCATAGTTCGGATGTGCACAATTATGGTTAAAATAATGCACTATTTAAACACACATTTTCTAATTTATGGTAGTGCACATTTATGTTTCACATAATGCTCAATACCATTATCCGTAAATGATAGAAATAAGTTTGAAAAAGATCCAAACGGAGTTTGTTGTATAAGTACATGCACTTTTACACTTCAATTCGTAAAATTTGCACCTTACATTTTAATATTCTGCACTAATTCGAAGTTAATAGAAAACAATAGTTAATTAGGTTAAATTTATGGTCCAAAACAATGATAGAGTGAAGAATAGTAAAATTGCAAATAAAATGGTTGAATGGTGCGACTTTAAATGAAGCATAGTGCACCACATGCACTTTATTCACATTATGACATTTTCTTTTTCACGAATGTCATGCATTTTTTCTCATAAGTAAATGCTCTTTACTTGAATAGTTATGCACCATGAAAGGGAGCTCCCATCCCATTGCAGATGATCTTTATTTTCGGTTCATTAGCGTTTTTAATCACAGTTAATGTCAAACATCAATGAGTGCAACAGTGTATACGATAATTTTATGAATTGAATATAGTGCATTACTATCATATAATATGTGCACTAATTTAGACATAGATCAGGGGTGGAGATAGGGAGGGGTTGGAGGGGGCCACGGCCCCTGTAAGAAAAAAAATTCTTAAATATATATCATGTATAAATACTTTTAATCTATAGAAAATATGTTGATATTTTGAACTTTGGCCCCCTTATGTTGATATGTTGATAATAGATATCAAGAATATTTTGTTGATATGTTGATATTTAAGAAGAAGAAAAATTAAATATATATTATGTATAAATACTTTTAATCTTATTTCATCTATAGATTAAATAATTTTAATCTATATAAAATATGTTGTTATTATGTATAAATACTTTTAAAGGCAGACCACCTTAACCATAGTTTTCTGGCTCCGCCACTGACATAGATGGTTATAGTGCGTAAATATCATTTCACTTGCATATGAGGAATACAAAAATTAAACAGGAGATATATGTAAATATAGAGAAAAACAAACAAAAAAATCATCAAAAATAAAATAGAAGATATATTTAGACATAAAATGATGAAACGATTTAATAATTCTGCACTATACTTATCTTCCGTTGTGAATCTGGAGAAAATAATGAGTGTGAATAAATCAAAAAGTGGGATAAAGAATTATTTTGATTGGCTAAGAAAATATAATATAATTTGATAAAGTAGCTAGTACTATAAAGACGGTAAAACAATCAAAAGATAATTTGATAAGATAGTTGGCTGTGAGAAATTTTAGGATACGGTTATGGAAACAATCGGATAGCATTAATGGGATGCGAAAATCTCCTCTTTACCCTTAATGAAAGAAAGCCCACGTATTAAAAGAGTTTAAGATCAAATGGCTATAATTCATTCTCATTTCTCTCCTGATATTCTCATTTGATCCCTACTCTAAGTATAAGTATAAGCATAAGCATAAGCATAAGCATAAGCATTAGCATAAGCATAAGCATAAGCATAAGCATAGGAAATTGAGAGAAGGGAGATCTGGCGATAGTACGGTTAACCAGCATCGCTACCGAAAAGCTGCCCGGCGCGGCAAAAGCGAACACGGAAGATGAAGGAGCCAGATTCCTTAAATTCGGATCTGTTTTAGTCCAAATCCTAGGAATTACTCACCAGCCGCACAATATTTTGAGAGAAGGGAGCTCCGCTGCCACTACGCATAGATGGCAACAAGCTCTCCTGCAACGGGGTCAGTTTAGCAACAGGGATAGTGGTACTACGACTGGTGGACTCCAGGAGGCGGCCCAGCATCAACTAGAGACCCAGTCTCGAGCGGCGAACCAACAACAAGCAGCGTCCCTGTTCTGAGAGGCTCCAACTCTCCGAGGGATGAGACCAGCAACATCCAGGCGCGGTCTTCACCATCAGTCCATCACCGACGGCACAATAAAGGCAGGGGACCTCCAAGTAGACAGTGGGTTCATACAAGGCATTTTGCAGCAAGAAATCCATATCCACGCAATAGAACTAGTCGTCCCTACAAATTGGGTAGGTATGAGAAGACACAATCTGCCTGTTTCACATCACACTCTGATGGGTTTAGCACCTTTATTGAAAGTAAATCTTTTCACTTCCATATTTTCGATAGCAATTATATACGGATTTCAAAGACGAAACATGGAATTTGTTATGCTGTCGAACTTGATTTGAAAAAGGTTTCTTGGTTGAAGGAGTCAATTCCAAAGCTTTTATCTGCTAATTGGGTCCATCCACGATTGCGGCTGAATAATTCTTTTTACATTCAATACGATGCCATTTTTTTTGGTGGGTTTATCCGTATCATGGATAAGGAGCAAAATTGTTTATTCATTCTCGAGGGAAGGAATGGCTTGGGGTTTTACCGCTTTCTGAATGAGCTTTCAAAAGCAACTACTTTTATGCATGAATTAGAGGTCAAGGTGCCACCACCTGCGATTAAGCAGGCCTCATGTGAGATTTTTTCAGGGTGCGTGGATTCTGAATTCGTATGGGATCCTTCCATACCTCAGTCCGATGGAGATGACTCCTTTAAAAATGATATTTCTATTTCAGGTTTCTTACTTCAGGTTGATATTGAACGTTCTGCATCCGTTGAGAAATCGTTGGACTACTTTGAGAATACTATGACTAATGGAGTGGACTCGCTTTCTCAGTTTTTAATTAGAGAATTTGAATGAATTCTTGCCTCATCTTTGGGTAATCATAACTCTTGGTTTAAGAGACCTGTTGAAGTAGAGAAAGCTAACGACCAAACTAATCGGGATGCAAATTCTTTGAGAGATGTGTTTATACAAAACCAGCACTTGGTAGCGTCTGAGAGTGAGGATGTCTTTGTCGATAATAATTCATACTCGGCGGATGAATTTCTTGGTCATGCTTCTGAGAGTGAGAAGAGGGCTCCGATTTCATCCCTGGAAGATTTATGGGACTCCGATACAAATGAAGATATCTTTAACAAATCAAGGCTGGTCACGAAGGATAATTGTTTGCCTACGGAGAATCTAAACACTCAAATTAAGTTATACAGGAAGAAGCATCAACGCTCGCATATTATGAGAACCAGATCTCAATCACGCTTGGATTTCTACAGTTTAGAAAGAGCTATTTGGATTCCTTGGGTTGTTTTTTACTTCAGGTTGGGCCATTTATAGTTGTATTTCATGTTCATTATTTTCCTTTTCGTTTCTTTCCTTTTACTTGTTTTCATTTTCATTGTACTTCCCTTTGCTTATTTAATAAAATTTACTTTCTTTCAAAAAAAAAAGTATAAGTATAAGTATAAGTATAAGTATAAGTATAAGTATAAGTATAAGTATAAGTATAAGTATAAGTATAAGTATAAGTATAAGTATAAGTATAAGTATAAGTATAAGTATAAGTATAAGTATAAGTATAAGTATAAGTATAAGTATAAGTATAAGTATAAGTATAAGTATAAGTATAAGTATAAGTATAAGTATAAGTATAAGTATAAGTATAAGTATAAGTATAAGTATAAGTATAAGTATAAGTATAAGTATAAGTATAAGTATAAGTATAAGTATAAGTATAAGTATAAGTATAAGTATAAGTATAAGTATAAGTATAAGTATAAGTATAAGTATAAGTATAAGTATAAGTATAAGTATAAGTATAAGTATAAGTATAAGTATAAGTATAAGTATAAGTATAAGTGATGGAGTATATGGACTCCGACCCCCCGGTATGCCGACTACTGGGCCTGGACAGCGGCCCACACACATTTAGCGGATTCATATTATTGTACATTATTATTCAAATGTTCTAGATTAGCTTTTTATACTATCAGTCCATTTATGTAACCGGGTCTGTCAGGCCCGTATTAAAGGCCCAAACCCGGATTTTCCCTATATATACTCCTTATAGGAGGCTTGTAACTCATAACCAATATTCATTCATTCTATACACTTTCTTTATATCTTCTCCATTCTTCTTCAATCTCTGTTTATACAATATGGGTATCTATTATCCAACAATGGTGCTCTCGTTGAGAGGTTGAACACAATCAAGTGAGAAAACCTCCCCAAAATACCAAAAATTTCATACCAATCTTGAAAAAATCTAGCCAAAAATTGTTCTGAAAAAATGCAAAAAAAAAAAACAAATAATGGGATGAAGGGTCAGGAATTTCAGATCGAGAAGTCCCTGATCTGACCGGAACTTTGGTTGCCGTCCAAGCTGCGGCCTACCACCGCACCTGGTCTGGGAAGTAACGACGGAGGTCGCCGTCCAGATCTCACCGGTACAGCTCCAGACCTCCCTGCCGCTGCTCCAAATCTTTCGTCCATAATTTCAGATCTCGTGGCTGGCTAGCTGTTATTGCCCCGGCCGTCGTGGTGCGACGTGGGATGAGGCTGGTTTATCACTGCTCCGGGTTCGCCTCCGTTTCCACATCTCGCCGCTCAGAACCGTCGCTTGCAGGTATTTCTTCTGCCTTCGTTGCAACACCACTAAACGACGCTCAGAGCCTGTTTCTTCACCTTCGCCACAGCATCATCAGTCGTTGCCCCTGGTGAGCCATGGCAAGGCTTCTTCCGTTATTGGAGATGACGAGCTCCTTGCGCGAGGCTAGCGCTCAAGATCTCGCCGGGGACAGAGAAATGTCACGCAAAGCAGCAGACCCGGGGGACCATTTTCCACTCTCCGGCGACGATTAGCAACGTTTACCGGCGAAGTTTCCAAGCGTCCAGCCTCCCTTACCAGTGACGTCCGTGCACGAGACCAGGTTCCAAGTGTCCAACCTCCCCCAGCATCGTCCTTCTCTCTCCTTCCGCTCCTGCTGGCAGCGATGGTAGACAGCCAGCGGTCAGCAACTAGATCCGGCTACAGTTCTTTTACGGCGGCTGCAATGCAAATGAGCAGTTTCGTCAAATGACCTATCTGTGTCGTTTAAAGAAGGGCCTGGGAGATGGACTTTTGTTGACCCAATCAACTGTTAAAACCTATGCCGGGAAACATGGCCAAGAGGGAGGCAGTGGGCCAGGGCATGTATGGTCCAACAAAATAGTTCAACGAGCTTCAATTTCAGCAACATATTTCAACCCAAGTAGTCCGATAGTTCAGCCCACTTCAAAAAGATAAGTATCTTTGAATTTAATATTATTTATATTTATTTTAATCAATATTTTTTGTCAGGTGAATATCACATTATCACACACTTATGATCAAATGCCTAGTAGAGTGTGGTTTGAGACCCATCACTAGGATTTAAAGCCTTGACCTCTCAGGCACAAAGCCCTGACCTCTCAGGCACAAAGCACTGACCTCTCAGGCACAAAGCCCCGACCAAGTCGGGCACGAAGACCGGTCTTAGTCATTCCTCGAGTGGCGACCGCTGCTTACGAATGGCTCACACATCCATTCTACTAAGTATTTAATCATTACATTAACAATTCACATCTCCACTTGTTTCAAGTAACGAACTCCCGATCGGGAACATAAATCCCAAGAGAAGAATTTATATGCATGTTAAATGTGTAGGTACAAAGATTACTTTACTCATCTTCACCTCGTCTCCACTCGCCTCAAAGAGTGGGGACTGAGGGAATGAGGAGTCAGAGTTTCTAGGTGAAGAGAAAATATCACGCACGAGCAGGAACGAGGGATGAGTCAGATGACGATGAATTGAGCTCGATTGATTATGACGGAGGAGACTTACCTCCCTTGTTTTATGTTGGGGGGCGCTAGGTGTACTCTTTTTCCCTTTATTAGGATTTTTTCCCACTGGGTTTTTCCTAGTAAAGGTTTTTAACGAGGCACCTCCCCATCATTGACAAGGGTGGTGGTCCCCCGGCCGAAGATGAAGAACGTTGCAGATATAGTTTGGACTACTCCCTTTCGCCTCGAGTACTCTCGACTCAGGGAGTGGGGGACTCCTGATGGAGTATATGGACTCCGACCCCCCGGTATGCCGACTACTGGGCCTGGACAGCGGCCCACACACATTTAGCGGATTCATATTATTGTACATTATTATTCAAATGTTCTAGATTAGCTTTTTATACTATCAGTCCATTTATGTAACCGGGTCTGTCAGGCCCGTATTAAAGGCCCAAACCCGGATTTTCCCTATATATACTCCTTATAGGAGGCTTGTAACTCATAACCAATATTCATTCATTCTATACACTTTCTTTATATCTTCTCCATTCTTCTTCAATCTCTGTTTATACAATATGGGTATCTATTATCCAACAATAAGTATAAGTATAAGTATAAGTATAAGTATAAGCATACGCATAAGCATAAGCATACGCATAAGCATAAGCATAAGCATAAGCATAAGCATAAGCATAAGCATAAGCATAAGCATAAGCATAAGCATAAGCATAAGCATAAGCATAAGCATAAGCATAAGCATAAGCATAAGCATAAGCATAAGCATAAGCATAAGCATAAGCATAAGCATAAGCATAAGCATAAGCATAAGCATAAGCATAAGCATAAGCTTAAGCATAAGCATAAGCATAAGCATAAGCATAAGCATAAGCATAAGCATAAGCATAAGCATAAGTGATGGAGTATATGGCCCAGGAACCCCCGGTCCATAGACTCCCATTTCTCCTACACAAGTCCATTGAGCTCAGGAAACAACTCCGGCCCAAATGCAACGGCCCAAGCCTCAAAGTGGCCCAGAATACACACTGGGGTGCCTTCGGCCCCCCTGGCCGAAGGCCCCAAAACTCACAGAATAGCCTTCTCTGGCATAAGAAGCTACTGGGGGAAAACGGGCGAGAACATTAGCCTTCGGCACCATTGAGCCCTCGGCACCAGGGGAAGCCCTCGGCTGAACCAAGCCTTCGGCTACGCATTGAGCCTGCGGCCATACATGAAGCCCTCGGCTACACGAGGAGCCTTCGGCCATACAAGGAGCCCTCGGCCACACGAGGAGCCTTCGGCTGGACTAGCTCAATCATCGAAGATTCCTTTTGGAGACAGCCAACCACCGCATTTAATGCCACGTCACATCCGCCAACCGCATTCAATGCAGTGAACGTACCACTGCCGGTGCCACCAGGCTGAGGTGACCCTTCGGCCGTTGGATTACTGACACGTGTCCTCTCATCGCATTTATTGCTGCTATAAATAGCAGCCCATTTCTCCTTGTAACGGACATGATCGACATCTCAACTCCACATCTCGAGTTCATTTAATAAAATCGACTCTCTCTCCTCCCATTTTCTCTGACTTCTCTCTAAGTTATTCCCGTAATAACCCCTCGGATAAGATACCCCCCGGGTAGACTATCCATCATTTGGTGCTCTCGTTGAGAGGTCTGAACTATCAAGTAAGAAACCCTCCCCCTCTACCAAACACAAACCCTCACCAAAAATGGGAAGGACCACCCGTGCCCAATCCAAGACCCTTGAGGAAAACTACGTAGCCCCCGGCGAAACTAACGGGGCTGAGGCCTCCAACAGGCTCCTAGTGCCCGAGGGTGGTGTCATCCTCGAATTGGAACAAGCCACCGCTGACCTACGTCAGCAGCTGCAGAAGAACACCCCCGATGCCCGCATTGGCCTTGATAATCGAAGGAGGGATCGGAGTGAGAACCAAGTTCCTCCTCCGGCCTCGGCCATCGATCTTCAGGCTGCCTTTGCGGCCTTTGTTCAAAACATGGCTCTCAATTCTGGAGCCCTCGCCTCTCAGGCACCCCTCCAGCCCTACGCTGGAGGAAATGTTATTCAATTACCACCACTCCCCCCTCTGTTCAACAATCCTCCCCCGGGGATTGGAAACGCCGAAGGGGTCATGGCGCAGGACACCGCCTCCCAAGAGGCCCAATCCAGGGATAAACGTCCCTTGATGAAGGAGAAACCCCGAACCTCTGCACTTGAGAGGCTTGGGGGAGCTCCCATACGCCGAGGGGTCCAAGACCGCCTCGGCAAACAGGAATTCAGCAGGCCTCAGGAGAGCGGAGCCTCCGCTTCGGGAGCCGAGGGCATACCTCCGCCCCGAAGCAAGGGCAAAGCCATCCTCCATGCCGATGACGCCAGACACCAGATCAATCAGGCGCAGTCCTTCCGGGCCAACTCCCAAGGGGTTGCTCCGAAGGACCCCAAGGACGAAATCATTGAGGCCCTCCTCCGGCAGCTCGAGGAGAATCGTCAGGCACCCCCGACGGCTTCCACAGCAAGGCCGGATCCTGAGTACGCCGACCTCCGGGCGCAGGTGGAGGAAATGAAGCGTAAGCTTGCCGAAGGCTCAGGCGAGCCCCTCATTCAACTCCGTACTAGAACACCCTTC